ACAGCATGTACTGATTGTTAGACTTATGGTAAAAACAAAACAAAAAATAAATCTCAACTGGCATGAAAGTAAGCACACTGATGTGAAATCTATGTGTCACACCTTATATTAAGAATTACCGTTCTTTGCTAATATATTATGGATCGGGGTTTGATTCATTTTTCAGAACAGCTGCCATTTCTCAATCCTTCCATAGTTTGACTATCTCATAATCTTACCTCACCCCAGTGCTGGGGCCTAGAATTGGAGGTGCAGTGTCAGTGTTGCAGCACATAATCCATAGCCCAGATGTTTCCTTGAACCCAAATCATGAGCTCAGAGCCAAACCCACTGCAGGTGCTAATCCAGAAGTTGATCTCTGGCCTACAGCAAAAAATCTACTGCAAAGTTAGTACAATAAATGCAAATTAGTAGCTGAAGAATATCCTCCACCAAAAACATGGGGTTTTAGAAATCTGTTCAGACTCACTGGGTACATATAACATTTGGAAAGGAGATGCAGCAGGCATCTCACCAGGACAGAGGCTTTGGAGATGTGCCATTGTGGAAAAGACTCACTAATAATAGAATCATGAGAGTCCAAAGAGATCTCTTGTATAACATTACACATAGTAGATATTAAGTAGAAAAAATACATCTTCATTTTCAAGATCCATTTCTACATTGCCCTCTCTACAATGGTATTTTTAAAACGTGTGTAGTATAACTTCAAGAGGTTTATAAAATCACAAAAACTCTCTCAAAATCTCCACACAAGTTAAAATTTCAGGATTAATTAAAACAAACTAACCAACCTAAATTCAGAGGTCACTCACATTTAATCATTGAAGAACATCTAACAGCCTGGGGGGAGCTAGGAGAACCCTCCCTGCCTTTTGCCATTACATTGTTTCTAGATCTGTTCTCAAAGAAAGATGGTCTTCTGTGGTCTGAGATGTACTGGAAACCAGACCACGAGTCAAGGAAAGTTCAGTAGGACCAACATCACAACGTCTGCCTCTAAAACAGTGTACTTCAGCCAAAGCCTTTCTGCATCTCTTCATTTCTGTAGCTCTCAAGCTGCTCTTTTACTGTTTTTGTTTTTTTCAGATTATGTTTTGTGTGATACAAGGACTGAATCCACAGGGAGACATGACCTTGCTCTCTATGTATCCTCCGCAGCACCCATCTGACACCTGTAAAATATTAAGCTGTAAGAATGCATGTTGAAGTCAGGCAGCCAGGTTAGGTGTTTGCTATAGATAAACCAGCTGGTTTGATAGGGAGCACTGCAACCCTCCAAAACCTCTGTGTGTGCCAACAGTGAGCGAATTCCTAAAGAGTCGGGATGCTCCTGATTGCCATAAAATGGCTATCCCAGTTCCCCTCATTCCTGCAGGCTCACACTTCAAGCATTAGTTAACAGTTATTATGTCATCTTCTTCCTCGAGTGTTGATTAGCAAACTCTACACCGTCAGCTCTTTATGCCATTTTCACCAGCACTCCTTCCAAGCACACAGCTATGGTTGGCTCTTCTTCTCTGAACTCCCTCCAGTTTGCCTTCCTGGTAACAAGGTGCACAGCACTACGCTCACCTTTTCCAGATGTTATCTAGCTTCAGTTCCAAGAAGAGAGGTTTGCTCACTCCTTCGCTGCAGTGTGGCTTTGAAAGCCTCAAAACATACTGATTTTTAAACCATTGCATTACACAGTAAATTCAAATGTAAACTCAGAGTCCTTCGTTCCTAAGCAGCAGTCTTTTTTCTTTTAGAACTTTTCTTTTTTCTTTTTAGAACTTTTTTTCACTCTAACAGAAAAGGAAGATGTGGACCTTGCTTTTCTTACGTATGTCATTTTTAGCTTATTTATGAGAACGAGAGGACTGATAGGAAGTACTACCTAATCCCATACTGGTGCTCAGAGCAGCACAAAAACAGAACCGGTTTCCAGTTCTCTGCGCTGAGAACGATTTTCCATTGTCATTCCACATTATCTTCCCATTTGAGTCTGCCCATGCAATTCTGTTGTGCATCCTGTAATTCTGTTTTAGCAGGTTTAAAACAAACAAAAGGAAGTACTTTTTCACACAGTGCATAATTAAACTGTGGAACTCGTTGCCATGGGAAGCTCTGGATGCCAAAAGTACAAATGAATTCAGAAAGACAGAAGACAAATTAATGGAGGATAGGTACCTTGATGAGGATTGGACATAACAGCTCACTTAAAGAGTTTGGCTCAGGAAGCCCTTACGCTGCAATTTGATGGAAGCTGGAAGGGATATCTCTGGCTGTGGCTGTTTCTCACAGATCCCCTCTGCAGCCCCTCTGGTCATGGCCAGGAAGGAGATATTGGAATTAGTGATTTGCCTTAATATGGAGCTCTAATGTTCCTCTCCTAATGAGAGATGTGGATACCCATAAGTGTAAAGAATTAATCTTTAAGCTGAACACAGGCTCCAGCACCTCTGAATTCCTCTTCAGGCAATTTTATCAGATCTGATGCAGGTGAAGATAACGTCCAAAGTTTACAGCAAAGTGTGTTACTGAAATTGGATATTTTAAGGTTTGGTACTGCTGAGTTTGTTGGCCCAGCCAGTGGTTGTTTTTGCAGATAATACTCGTTGGATCAACTCTGTTGGGGACTGATGTCAAGAGAAAACCTGTTATCTGTGCTGAGAAAGTTGTATGTGCTCTTCAAGCTCTCTCCCCTCCCTGGAACGCTGCTGAACAAACGTTCTCACCGGCCAGTGTGGTGCCATCTCTTCTTGTTGACTTAGCTCTGTAATTGCTGGTTTATCAGCCTCCCCTCAGGCTTCTCAATATATCTTGACCGAAGAGCAAGATGAGCACAGCCATACACACACATACATTCAGAAATGGGGAGGCAGCAGGCAGGCAAGGGAGGAGAGTCACCCCACAGGCAGCGCAGGTCTCACAGTGTGGGACAGAGGGAACCTGGCCCTCAATCTGACATCGCTGCTTTCATACCTGGTGCCATGTGTTTTGCTGCAGAATGGGTGGCTTGATTTTATCTGTATTGCTTTGTCACTAGGGATTCTTTCTGTACAGTTCAGAATGACAGCATCTGGGGGCTGGACTCACTGATCTCGAGGTCCCTTCCAATGTGTGTGGTTCAGAGAACTTCATTTTGGTCAGTTTTATTTTCTGATTTTTCCTGCATTCACTTAGGCTTTGTGCTAACTGCCTTACTTTCTGTGGATGAATCCACTCAGAAAATGTAATGAATACGAATAAAGTTATTCACTCCTGTTGCGGATAAAGCCACATTTGTCTATCTATGCTACGATGCTACAATGTAGCTGAAAACCATAAGGAAAGCTGTGGGCTGAGGGCTTCTTCATCAGGAAGTTATTGGGAGAGCAAAAGGTCCAACTCAGAGGCATGATTTTCTCTTTGCTGCCATACACCTCAAAGCACAGGACAGTTCCTTAGGTTTGAAGCATTATTCCAGATCCTTTGGTTACTAGAGTGAGATGGCCTGGCTGCGTAGTCTGACCAAATTATCTCTGTCACGTAGTACTATAACTGTAGCACTCTATGTGTTATGAACTCCAATCTGCTGAATGTTGATATAGCTCCTTGTCTTATATCATGGTACATCCTATGGAGTGAAAGTTTACATTCAAGCAAAGCATAACCAGTTGTCCATTCTTTCTGAGCATGTGCACTGCTGGGATGCAGAGCAGAGGTGCAGAAGTGACAAGGAGGGAAGGCGAGCACAGCCCGCCAGCTCTGGGCAATGGGACCTGGGCCACAGCCTCTACCATAGTGTGTGGCTAGAGCTCAGCTCACACCACCTGTATGTACCCCCTTGAAAAACTAGAACATCATGTTTCCTCTCCACTAGTTATCACAGCAGTCCTCACTTCTAGTGCCAATTACTCCTGACTGTAGAGACTGGAGCGCGTTACACACGATGCAGAATATTCCCTACAAATAACAGGTAAAAATAAACAGTCAAACCAATCCCAAAGGCAAAGAGCTAGTCCCAGACAATGGGAAAGATAATCAAGGAATAACTAACACAGGTAATCAGCAAATCATTCAAATGAATTGATTTGGCTTTGGCTGGCGTCCCTGCTTCTGCCTGAGAGCTCCAAGTGAAACCCAAATAAGTGGCAGTTATCTTCCACTCTCTTCCTGTTATCTGGTTCTAATGACAACAGGGGAGAGAGGGGGAAATTATGGCTTTGAACGGGATCATGGCCCTTCATTTAAAGTAAATACTGCAATGAAATGGAAACTGCTTGAAAAGTGAGATTGCCCTGGCTTTGTTCTGAGCAGATTAAGTTATGTATTAAAACCAAATAATATCATATTCTTACAATGGCTTCAGCACTTTCATTGCAAATAACACACAGAGAATCAGAAAGTGCTGCTTATGGCATAAGGTAGCTGTGAAGAGCCAACCTCCAGCCAAGGATCTGTGTTTCATGTTTCAAGAAACGTATTTAACATTAAAAAGTACAATAGGAAAATTCAAAGTGAGTGATGCTTATTCCAGATTTATCTATGCACTTGGAGCATCCAAGTTAAAAGCACAACCTCCTCATGTTTCCACATAGGGGAAGAAGGAAACCAAGCAGGGCACCAGGTGCTGAGTTTCCCCGAGGTTCTAATCTTTCTCCCCAGCTTCAAGCAGAGCAGAGTGCAACAAGGTTCTCTCCCAGGGACTGCAGCAAATATCACAGGGCAAATCCAGGCTCTGCTTTGCTTTGGGAGGAAAACCTGCCCAGGAGGTGGCCTGAGCCCAAGGTGACAGTCAGGATTTTTGTGGATGTGTGTGCAGCAGAAATATAGCAGTAAAGAATGTATCTTTAGAACTTGGATCCTGGCAGCATGTGTTCCTGCCTACCTTTGGATCAAGTAGCAGAGCATTGGGCTCAAGAGTTCCACACAGGAACAACAAAGCACTGAAAATACAGTGGACGCAGAATATTTTATAGTAATATTTTATTATTTAATAATATTTAATAATATTTTACAGTCCTTTTGTCAGAGAAAGCAGCATCAGTAACAAAGCCATGGGACAACTAACCGGCCATCAGTTACAAAGCTACAAAGAGTTTCATTGTTTTTTTTTCCTGAACTAAATAGAAATGAAACAAGTGATTAGCACCTATGTTGCAGCCCAGCAACCAGCAGCCTAACTTCCCTGGTAAGCTGTACTTCTTGTGATGTGTTGCTCACCTCCTCCATATTCAGCCATATAGCTACGACTTCTTTCCACCAATGGATGAACCACAGAAGAACTAATCACAGTTAGCTCTACTACTACAAAGATCCAGGCAAGTGTATTTCATTGAAGAACATCAACAGCGCCCTCCTTCTGAAACCCCCTAAAGACCATATCAAACATCTGTGCTTACACAACAGTCTTCTTACCTCTCTACTTTCAGATTCAAAATAACAAAGAAGACATGATGAGTTTCAAGTCTGTAGAGTTATGGCAAATTTGAGCTAGAAACCAAAGAATAATATTATGGTAAAAGCACGTTATAAATATTTTGATAGTACTTACCTTTGTACTGCATAAGTTCCACACTGTCAAATCTTCAGAAGGTACTTCTGTGTGGAGCCAGGAGCTGAATTCAACGATCCCTGTAGGCCCCTTCCAACTCAGGATATTCTATGACTCCATGATTCTGCTGCTGTTGGTTTGACGATATTACTTCAGCTGCTTTCCCTAGGGCTCAACATCCTCAGAATTCCTCCACGTTTTCAGAAGATTGTACCCAGATATATGGATGACATTGCAGGGTGGGGAAATACACATCATGAAGCCAATACAACTTTAAAAGATTACATAACTTCTGAACAGCCTTATTTTTTTGCAAGGCCTAAATTCTCCTCCTTAATAATTACGCTTTTTAATATTAGAAAAAAAGGAAAAACACCTGAAAGTCAGATTTAATTGTAGATCTCAGACCTGTTTCAACACATTGTGAATAACTTGCTGACAAAGTGGAGAAGACACAGAACAAGACTTTGCGGCATAACATTTATATTCTGTATTTTGCTTTACTTCTGTAACTTTTAAAATGTTTTGTCCCCGATTTATTTTAAAGAAAATGAACTAGAAGTGAGGTTTCAACACAGACAGTTTTCTCACAGCATTAAAAAACAAAATGAAAGGCTGGAAAATGAACTGCACGCTAAAAATATTCAGAGACAATTAAATGCAATGGAAAAAAAGCCCCTATCACTTAACTGAATTTTCGCTGCTAAAGCAGTTCTATGTTTGCTATTCACAGGTACTACCAACATTTATGATAGTAACCTTTACAAAGTCAATTTAATTATCTTTATCTTATTACAAATAATAAATTCAGTTGTCCTACAATGAAAATCAATTGTCAACATAAGCTATGGTTAACATCTAATAAAACAGCCCTCTGTAAATCCATGATTAATAAGATTGGCTTCTGTATTAACTAACAGACATCGTAAAATTTCCTCCCCTGCATTAATCTGTATATTCAAGGTTTATCCTGTTAGACTGAGTTTCCCAAAATAAACTGTTAGAATGAACAAGCAAAATTTTGGCGCCTATCATCATTTCATCATAATGATTTAATGAATGGTTTTGAAATTAATGCCATATTTTAATTAAGTCACAAAAGCTGCTGGCTCTAACGAAGGATAAGCGTCTCACTCATTGTTTCCTTCAGCCTCTAAACAGAACACTGATGCCACTTACGTTTAGTTCTGATGGTTAGTGAATGTTAATTGAAAGGTGAAAAAACAGTTCCCCCAAACAGCCTTTTCATACGACAGTGGTTGCTTAAGTTCTTCAGCATCAATCATGCCAGAAAGCTGGCATTTACTCCATCAGAAACATCTTAACAAGACACTGACAACTTAATTCCAAAGTGGAAGTAGCAGTCCCTACATTAGCCACGAAGGTCAGTTCCTGAAAACAGGGGACATCTGCTGTGTGAATCATGGTGCCACATTTTGTAGATAGATTCCTCTTTTTGTGATAAACACAATTCCCACAGATCTTGGTGTGATCTTAGGACCACTACTGTCATTAGGAGCTTCAACAGACCTTTGATCAAGACACTGAATAGCAGAATGATACAGTCATACCCATCCTGAAAGATCTCTAAGTTATTTTACAAAGTAGGGGAAGCAAAATCCCCTGACGTACCTATGAAAAAACACAGAATTAAGAATTAAAGCAGCTGCCACGATTACCTGGAGGAATCCTCCTGAACACCATGAAACTTTTAGTTGCCAGAGTAAAGAGGGCCTTGGATTTCTGTTTTTAAATTATCATTACCAAGTTAGTAATGTACTTCAGAGATAAGGAATCTGATCCCTCACCTTACCATTTTTATGTAAGCCAAGAGACTGCTGTAGAATTATCTCCTTATAAAATCAGAGAGCAGACCTCTAAGCAGCAGCCATCATTATAACAAGTGGCTGTAGAGAAGGAAAAAATAAATATCTTACCACATACTTCATCTGTTTTGCTTAATACTTGTCATAACTGCTAAAAGAATATTTTCTTTGCCACTAATTTTGTTATTTTTCATTTGAAAATAGCCAGCTTAATTAGGCTAAGAAAAGATTTTTTTCTTTCAATTAACTTATGCCAGTGAAAATACAATTCTTTTTCACATTAAAAAAAATCTTCTGGCAGTAGCATTAGTGCTCTGAACATTATCAGAATGAAATTATAGTCAAAATTATGTTATCAGCAATTGTAGGCAATCATATTTAGAAAGACTCAGAAAAAAACCCTCAAATATATTTTATATCATCTGTTTATTTCATTCTTACATTTTGGTAATTAAAAAAATAAAGCATACTTGTCAAGTTCAACATTTCAGTCACTGTGTCTCATTCACTGACTTACAGTGTTTGGGTTATAACAGGCCAAGAGTCCCCCAGAGTATTTCAAGTGTAACTAATAAAGCCAAGGAAACATTTATGTAAGTTTAATATTCTGGAGAGAGAAAAAACAACAACAGCACACTCCAGTTAATCCCCGTTACAAAATCTAATTTTACACCACCTAAAAGCAGAGTATTTTCATATAGTTTTGCACATCACTCTACATCTGACAGGACAGTGTTTGAAACAGAATAAGCATGATAAATATTGTTCAGACCCCTTATAAAAATGGCAGTTCATTCCGATCTTTTTCCCTGAAGAGAGAACAGGGAATCGAGCATTTGCTCCTTTTTAGCATGTCTGAAGGGCACATGCATTGTAATGAAGCACCCTCATTCTTGTAGGCAGGCCTTATAGGAACCAAAGATGATTTCACATGTATTGTGAACATAGAGATCTAAACATTTGCTTAGCTGCCCTGTGTTCCTGCTGAGTTGTGGGTTTTTAACATTTTCAAGAACGAGCGTAGAAGTACTGCTGTGAATTGAGTTTGGGTTCAACCTTCAAGAGCAGCCTACTTTGCTAGGTGGTCTACACCCCACCTGTAATACTGCACCATATAAACCCTACTAACACAAAACCTGGAATGATTTATTGTTATTTAAGTTCATAAAGCTACCATGTGTGTGGGCGGGTAGCTTATAGAGCATAGTCCTCTACCATAAAAAGTAGTTTCTAACAAGGAAAGAAAAAATAGGAGTCAAAAGGATATAAACAGTCATTTAAGAAGTATATATTTAGCAACTATATATTTTTTCCCCATTTTTAATGTTCTAAAAGATTAGAGCTCATTTTTTCCCCTTCAGATGCTTTAAGATGGAAAAGGAATTTTAGCCTTTTTATATTTTTCCATCTCCTTCTACATTTAAATTTTCTTTTATCACCTGAAGAGTTCTAGGCTCTCATTTCCTCCACTCATTTAACATATGGTTATAGGGCAACTGATGTCTAACAGAACAAAGAAAGGTAGCTTCTCATTCCTCTCTAGTCCCACACAACGGCTTCTGATACAACAGCTGTCAACTCGGAAGCAGAAAACTTCCTTTCTTTCACTGTCTCTTCATTACTCCCTTTTAACTGAAAAGAAAGCTGGTGGCTCTGATTATTGTTTCCTGTTGTCTTACCAGTCTCTCCACATCCTACCATACTACACGTGCTTAAGCTCTTCTTTTTCCCCTGTTCATTTTACCATTCATCGTACATATTTGCTAGCTGTTTTTTTCTTTTCTTTTCTTTTCTTTTTTATGTTAATTTGAGAGTTGCCCCACCTGGCTGCTAAGCTGGAATCAGACGGAAAAATCTCCTGGTTAATTAGAACATGGCTGTACAATCCCAGTCACACCACAACTCCACCTCCACCTCAGCACAACTCAGTCAGGGTATGACCTTGCTACTTGTTCTGTGGAAACAGCTTCCACGCTTCTTATGAACGATACTTTCTAACAAGCAAAATTGATACCATTCTGTAAACTACCCTACATCACACCAATTTCCTCTCTTTGGGTTAAACCTGTGCATCCAGTTAGCCCTGCGTAAGCAAAGTTAAGGAAGAGGTGTTTCTTACAGCTAAACAAGTAGGTTTTGCTTTCTACTTTAGGGAATGCCCATGCAACAGAGATCTCAGAGAGTATTTAATTACTACAAGCATCTATTGATCCTGCACGAAAGCTCAAGCCACAGGTCTGAATATCTCTCTTAAGCGCAGCTCCTTCAATAAACAAGCCCTCACCCCGGTTTGAATATAGGATTGTTCTAGCAGAAGCATAAAATCATAAGTTTTTCAAACCCATCCTTGTAACAGATGTCCGAACAAAGCCTCGGCAAATTGCCTGCTCCTAAATCCTGGTTAGCAATCGGTGCTGGAGGTTTAGACTAACACTTCAGCGTTAGAGCCACCTAGTGGGAGAAGAGACAATGGCAAGGAAGCAGAGAGCAAGGAAGCAGAGATTCTGTATCCGAATTTTTCATCCCATTCATCTTTCTGGTGTGACCACTAGGCACCAGGCCCAATGAAAGAAACAGTAATCTGCCATAACATTGTTGCAAATGTAAGAAAACATCTCTCTGAAAAGAGAAAGCAAGCAGTCCCAGAGATTCATACATCTGTTAAAGGTTCTCAATATGAGAAAAGCGATCTGTGTCCACAGCAGGGAAAATCAAACAGCTATGGACAAGGGTAGTTTCAAAAAGGTTAAATAAGTGTAGATTCTGGCATCATTTTAATGGATGTGATCCTTCCTTGGCACTGGCTGCTCCAGTTTGTTTGTTCACACCGATCTTGTGAACTCTGTATAGAAAATTAAGGGTGAAAGACTTGCAGAAGTGCCTTTTAGTTAGGAAGTGGATAGATTACACTAGCAAAAATCTTGTCAGTATTAAAGAATGTGGTACAAGAACCTAGATGCCAAGTCTTGGAAAATTACGCCCATGATGTTTCTGTTGTCAGAATTTCACAACATACCAACCACTTCAATGGAGACATTTCCACAGACAAAACAGGATTTCAAAACCCCTTTTAGGGTTTCAAACCTCATATAATGGAAAGATCTGGTATATAAGCTAAGTACTAAGACAATAAAAATAAAAAGTAATGAGGTTGTGGACATATAGCTGCCTTGCTCATTTGGAAGGGAATGCTTTTGTCTCCTGCTATCTGCTGCTAAAGAAAAGCAATTAGCTTTGCCCATGAAGAGAAACTAACAGGTAAGAAGTGGTACAGAAATACAGAAAATCAGTCCATCTGGTGCTATAGCCAAGAGAATCACAGTGCAAGGGTATAATCAAAATTATTGATCTTTATCAGCATTTATCTGAATGGTGTTCAGAGGATCTATTTTGCAGAGATAATACTTTAGCTATGTTGTCAAGTTTAAGACTGAAACCACATATGCATACACATCTATACTCTGTGCATCAACTGATTTATTTGAAAGTACCCCGAAGACAACTATCTACTTCATAGTAACAGGAATCAGAGTAAGGCAGGTACAGAAACAGATCACATATTTACAATTAAGAAAACAGCATTATTCCATATCCCTTCCTGCTACTACAAATCTACTGAGAAGCAGAAAGCAATCTATTACTTGACAAGATAAAAAATGTCACTTAACATACAGCACCATAACCTTCAGATTGTTTTGTTGTTGTTGTTGTTGTTTTTTTTTTTTTTTTTTTTTAAATAAAAATGTTAATATTTGCAAGCCATCGTATATAAAAACAGAACAAAGGCAGGACATATCGTGTCAAGTTTTGATCCAATATCGCATCAATATATCACTATATACAGAGACAGAACAACCAGGAGAACTTATGGCTCAGTAGATAACCAAAAGTATTTTATAAGAACCTGCAGTATATATGTATATTTTAGTTCAGTGATCTTAAGGGTAGCTTAGATTTAGGAAGAAGCTGTTCTGTCATATCTTCAGTTTTGTTTTTCTCCAACATTGCTGCAGCTTTGTTCTCTTTATCTTTTTTGTGACTCCTTTTGTGCTGGAATTTAAAGAAAATGTGTGATAAGTTTTGCACGTTAAGATAATGCAGGTCCACGATACATTGGTGGAAGAGAAAGGTCAAAAGCAAGGAAGAAAATTAAAGTAAAAAAAAAAAAAAAAAAATTTTAAAAAAAAAAATCAAGAAAGTTAACTTTTATCAGATTTCAAAGAAAATGTACTGTATTAAATTTCATCTTTTCTATTAAACCACATGCATGCATCTAGCAAATCATGACATTTTTCTAGGTTGTTAGAATGTTTATTTTAACTGAAGTTTAACAAAGCATATTCTACAGCATTAAAAGAAGTTACGAGACTACACTCAAGGCTATCAGCAAATGATTTTATACTACAAGCCTATTACAGAACGATAACTTTCTTTCACTGCTCAGAATACCTATGAAAGTTACCTGGAAAAAGGGAATGCCTCCATTTGCATGACAGCTTATGTTTATATCCACTAAGTACTTGTCATCACCAAGGCTTTCAGTGGATTCTTGCATCCCTTCCTCCTCTTCCAGCAGGTCCTAAAACAGAAGCGTTCAGAGAAGTTCGCTGTATGTTTGAATTTCCTACATCAATGGAAGTGCTGTATTTCTTATAGATCTGATCACAATTTACGTATTTTTGTAAAACAGAAATGAGAGCCTCTAAACAACTATTAAGGTCTTCCATTGTTTTTCAAGACAATGTTTTTCTCAAAAGCTCAGCATGCAACTCCAAGTACCACACAGGAAGGCTGCAACAGTGCTGGGTTTCTGGTCAACTTTCCACAGAGATTAAAAGAACACAAAACTCTTTAGAGATATGAAATCTTTGTTGACATGTTTGTAACTCATATACATACCTCATCTGTATTTCCCTCCACTTCCTGTATCACACTGTTCAGCATAGCATCAAGCATTAATTGCTTTTGCCTCAGTTGTTCCAGTAGAAGTTCCCTGGGTTCTGTTTTCACCAGTGTGACTGGATAAGAGTAGTCTCTTCTCTGTGGAGTTGTCCCTTTAATGCAGATGGTATACAAATGAAAGGCACTATTAAATACATAAAGCAACTGCTTTAATTACAGATCATCAGTTTTACATTAAATCGACACAGAAGTCACACTTTCTTCAGTCAATCCTTGCATTCACCTTAAAAAAAGAAGTGCAAGATTTTTGTATTATGTTCCTATCAACCTCTGAATACAAACTCCACAACTCAGATTGCTTTCCACAAGACTGACTCCTGCCTACTTGAAATACCTGTTGGAATATCCACTTTAAGATCTTCTTTCAGGAAACCATTAACCTGAGCCAGTCCATGCTGTGCTTCTTCATTAAGTGCCAGCTTCTGTTCCAGAAGTACCCCCTGATCAACTTTCATTCGATCAAGAAGGCCATTTAGTATCTTCTCCTCAGCACATTTTTGAGTACCAATTTGGTCGGCAATTTCAGCTATTGCTTTATCACAGTTTTCTCCGTTTTTCTACAACAAACAACAACAGGAAAAAAAAAAAAACCAACAAAGCACAAAAACATCAAGTTAACAGGAAAGTTAAGGTTATGGCCTCTTTTCTAAGATGTGGGTGCATGGTTAGTGACATGATCTAAAACGAAACAATTGTGAGACCTCAAATTGAGAAGTTTCAGTGCCAATTTTACATTCTCATTTTGAGAACTATCTTCAGAAGAAGAGTCAGTTTCTTAGAAAGTACGATCATTTCAGAAAGCTACTCTTCAAAATAAAATTGATGCCACCTGGTTCAAAACAGAATTGTTATGTGTCTACTCATAACATTGCATTAAATTAGGATTTTTAAGGGAAGTGATAAAATCCTACCAGGACTAGAAGCATTATGTATTTCTAGAGGACAAAGAGGAAGAACAACATACTTTGTCCTTCCTACTGGAAGGAAGTGCCTGAAGTTTTCAGTAGGTATAATAGTTAAAAGAGCGCCTTTCTCAAGACTACAAATGCCTTAAGCAGTTTAACTTTCTTAAAGTTAGCAAAACAAATTGGACTTGTCTGTTCTATTACAGACTATACTTCATCTCTGTCTAAATCTCCCTGGGACACTACCTGTAATTAAGCTTTAGAATTAGAGCTACATGCTACAAGTGGTAAAAAGCTTAAAGTACAGGTGGAAGTTAGCCACATGGGATTAATCAAGACACTTTTTTTTTTTTTTTTTTTTTTTTGAAGTTATTTGCATTGCTAGTTTGAACTCTTACTCAAGTTAAGCTTTTTTATCTCATCAAAATGCATTTATTAGCATGAGTCTGCTGTGATCCAGACTCCATTTTGTACTGATTATAGTTAAGAATTTTCCCCTATGAATTCTCCTGTAGAAGTTTGTCTCCAAATATTGCATTAGACTACAATAGCTACAGGTACCTTTTGAAAACACATAAGCTGTTGTTTCTCATCCCTGAGGGACAATAGCTGCTGATCGGTAAAGCTGGCTATCTGAGCAATTGTAAGTTCAGCACATTTATCAGCATCCTGAGACACATTTCTGAGATTGATGAGAAGCTGCTGACAGTGGTCAGTGGAATCTTCCAGCATCCTCTTATTTTCACCATTTATAATCCTGAGCTCCTTAGAAAAATTATCCATAGATGCAAGAAATCTGCTGTGATTAGAAGCTGTGCTGCTGACTAGGTTGGTAGTTTTCCTGCAACAACAGACACGTAACAATTCAGACATTTTTGAAAGGTGGATTTTAACACATGTTGCATCAGTTTATACCAAAAGTAATCAGTTCCTTACAGGTGAACATTTTCTTGCACAGCAGTGATGGTGGTCTTCAAGCCTCCATTTTTTGCCAGTACATCAGCTAAGTTCTTCTGAGTCTCTTGAGCAAACAGGTCAAGCTGTCTTTGTAGTGAGGACATTAACTCAGCTGCACTCTGTTAAGAAAAGTTGTATCTTTCAAGAAAGATATAACATAGTACAGCTTTATTATTGTAAAGCTTAAGTCACATTTTTTCTATAGATGACAGACACTTTGCCTTTGGAGATTTACGTGAAGGCATATAAACTAGATGTGTTCATAGCAAGGGTAATTCTTGTTACTTTCCTACATAAGATACCTAAAGTCACACAACAGAAGTTGAAAAGAATTAGGATCACCAAGTCACTATCCCACCATTGCTTCTGAAACAGATACCACGGTTTACTGCTAGAGAATTCAAAGAACAACAGGTGACACTATGATTTCTCTTCACTCCAAGGGTACCTTTGTATGTGCTAGTCTTGTCATTTCCACTTCTTCTCTTAAATTTTCACAATCGTTCTGAAGCTGAGCAAGAACATTAGCTGTTTCTTCCTGTAATTTTTTCAGAGTGAGAGAAAGATCTTCAAAGAAGGTATCCATTTCTTTTTTATGACTTTCCAGCTTTAAAAAAAACAAACAAACAAAAAAACAGAAGTTTATTCTCAGTTAAATGTTTGTTATTAGATAAGAACTGGATACTTATCTGTAGCATAGTGGGCAAGAGAGGGGAGAAGAAACCTTTACTTCACAAAAACTGTCGAAGGCAAGCATAGTGGGTGAATGGTAGCAAATAACATGTAGAACATTCAGAAGTAACAGAATGGCACTTAGTATGGGCTTTCCTAAATAAAATTCAGCATACAAAATATACAAAATAGGACTCAACATACTTGGCTAAGACCAGAATAAGAAGCAACAGCTTGTAAGACATGTACTTATTGCTGTTAAAGCTTGAAAACTAGCAGACAGCTTTTAAATGAAGTGAGTTTATTTCAGATGAGATGCAACTGACAGAAGAAGGAAATTTAGTCCTCCACCTGGATCTGAGGTTTTTTTTTTTTCTCCCAACAAAATGGAGAGAATGAAAGAGTGGAGCTGCAATTCAAAGACTTAAAACATAATTGCCCAAGGAGGTTGTGAAGTCACCATCCCTGAAGGTGTTCAAGAAACATTAAGATGTTAAACTGAGGGACATGGTTTAGTGAGAAATATTGGCGATGGGTGGATGGTTGGACTGGATCATCTTGGAAGTCTTTTCCAACCTTGTTAATTCTATGGTTCTGTGATAACACAGCCAAAAAAAAAAAAAAAAAAAAAAAAAAAAAGCAAGCATAGAACTTTTATAAGTGTAGCACTGTGTATGTATATTGTTATTGTACACTTCCACATTCTCCATAATGAAAATAACTAGGAAATAAAGTTTGGTACAATAGCAGGAGAAATTTGAAGTGATAGAACTCATTTAAGTCAGCTGTTTCAGACTTCTATAATACAGTAGAGACTATACAAAAAATATTATCAAATACCTGTTATACATAGCTTTAAGCATCTACATTTTATTATTTGTCTTCAGCATTTAGGTGAGCAGCTGTGCCAATATAGGTAGCAAGGGGACACAACACACACAAAAATGGAAGTCCAAAAGGAAAAGCTATAAAGTAAAACAACGTATGTGACAGAATAAAGGAGATGAAGCCAAACCAGGCATGAAAACACTAGCACTGCAGAAAAGGGGGTATATGCAAGAAAAGCACAAGAGAAAAATCTGTTTATTACCTTATCAGCCACAGCTGAATATTTTTTCACGTTAGTCTGAAATTGACAGTTTAGGCCCAGGACAAATTCTACCATTGGTGTCAAGCTATTTAATGCGCTTCCTAATCCTGACGCATGCTCCTCCTAGAAAGAGCAATAGGAAAAAAAGGTAAAACAAAATATGGAAGTCTCTTTGGTACTTTTCTAAGAAGTTATTCATATGGATAAGTAAGGTCTACGTGCTCTGCAGTTAGCTTTTGCTGTACAGCACATTACAGCTCATGACGGGATGAGGAGGGAAGAGGTATGTAATCATGGCTAAGTGTTGAAACAGAGCGTCAGGAAAAAAAAAAAAAAGATTGTTTATAGCACCTCTTCTGATTGAGGACAATTTCATATACTTCAAATAAAAAAAAAAAAAAAAAAGAGTATGTAAGTTTACTAACAATTAATCTCAGTAGCTCAGCTTTATGATCAAGTGACAGATTCTCATGTTGTAATACTTTTTCAGACATGCAAGAAACTTCCGTAGACACCAATTCCTTAAGAGAGGCAAAGGATGCTGATACAACTGATGTAAGAATATTAGCTGCCGAAGAACTGGTAGACAAGATGTCACCTAGAAAAGAAATTGGAAAGTGTTACAAAACTTACTACTCTTAGCTGACCATCTGAGACACATTATTATGTAATTACTACATTGTTTAAAATAAAGCTTAATCTTTCTACTAACAGAGGTCCAATTTAAAATGTTGATCTTTGATTGTACTATTGCAAAACATAAGGATGACCTTCATGTAGAGGTATTACACTTACCTATAAAATGCGTGTAAGACATCAACATCTGTTGCTGCTTCACACTGTTCTCAGTAACTGAATCTCGTATTCTGTTGAACAAATCAGTCATTTGTTGTGCAAACGTATTTTGGACAACAGCATTGTGCTGATCAACAGCCTTCTTACGGTCCAGTTTTGCGTGGAGACCAGATACATCTTTTGTGGTTTCTTCAACTGTATTAAGCAACTAAAATTTTTTTTAAGGTTATTTCAGTAGATATTTAAATCAGAAGCCAAGCATAAGTTCATGTTCAGAAGAACTCTAGTTCTAAGTTGAACGTGAAGCAGATATTTCCTTTAACATCAAATTACAACCGTTCTTAATCTTGTGCTATGCCATCTACAGTCTCAGTACAAGAAAAATTTACCTACTAGAGAACATTTGCCCCCAACTCTCAAGTATTAAAATAGAACATCCTCAGTATTCAAGGAATTAAAATACAATGAACATAGAACAGTAACGAAGAAATTCCCAGTAGCTGCACAGTTTTCTGAAAGATTTGACAGTAAATATATTTTTAATTGTACTGAAAGCAAGTGATTTCCAGTATTACCTCTGTGATAATTTAGAATTTGAAAGTATACAGGAATTTGGTTTTGTAGTTAGTGTAAATGATTTCTCTACCCATTTATCTCACACAAACATTCCATATCAACATGCAAAACTGAGCACCCGCTCCCAACCTTACAAGAACCCGAATAGAAAGAACTTTTCATATTGACTAAAGACATGGAATTAATCACTTTGCACTTTAAATAGCAGGACTCTGTCTCTATCAAGTCTGTTTTGAAAATTAAGACCAGTCATAAACACATCAAAAAAAGCACCTAAATACCCTCTAAAATATAGAGACATGGCAATAGTTTCAGTTACTCAGTATTATTGCACATCCCTTGGTTCTTGCAATTTCTCTACTCTAGTTATGCATAACTTACTCTGTTTTAAGGTCAGGCTTAAGTGTCTAGTTAGGTAAACTAAAGTAGTTATTCTGCAAAACAACTCATAACAATAGAAACTGCAAAGCACTGAAAGCCTTATGAAAACCTTATGAAAAGCCAGCTTCCAGACTGACAGTTTGCTGTTAGATACACTGGTTAATACTTCCACAGAGGAAGCCTTGCAATCTCTAAGTGACTCCTCACTATAACAGTTTTCAGAGGGTCAATCATAGTTTTTAAACCTTAAATTCATTTTTGTCACTCACATCATCCTCTAGTGACAAAGACATCTTTGAACAGATTGCTGAACCCTTAAAGAGAGGAAGTTATTGTTACAATTAGATGCCAGGAGAGTGATAACCTTGCTAGCTGTGCCATGAAGTTTTTGTTCAGCATCTTCCAAAACGGAAACCACATATTCTTCTTCAGCCAGATGAACTTTGGTTTCTTGCAGATCTTTCTGTGTTTCTTCCAGTTCCTTCTCCTTGATTTCTAGATCTGTTTTACACTGCTCAAGTTCGTTTTTATTAACTGTGAACAGTTCAGTCACCTACAGTGTAAGACAAGCATCAGTACAGTAACATTGCTCTTTGCAAGCTCAACTGCAACTCACCATATATACCTAGTTATGTCACAATACTAGAAAACAGTTTGTCATCTAGATAAGCAAGAAAGTTTCAGCAGTTTCAGCTGTAAGGCTCAGAAATCTTAAGACTGACTAGAGGCTAGAAGAGCCTTTATTTACTGAAAACATCACAAACCAATACAGTTTTTATTGTGAAAATCCTTCACTTCCCTATTCAAGTCACAAGATCAAGCATTCGTTATATCACAATGAAGGAATCCCCACTAAACAAATATAAGCTGATAGAATGAGGAATGATCAGTAAAACTGATTAAAGGTAAGCCTGTTTATGCACACTAGTTACATACTCCACTTGTTTAAGAGAAATTTTCCAATTTTTTTTTTCTGCATATTCTTGTTAGTGGGAGTCATCACCACTCCCCCCCCTTCATTCTTTGCTTCTAAGCACACAACTCCAACTGAGATTATGCTGTTTTACAAGATTTTTGCTGGAAAGTCAAAGAAAATTCAAGGTTAAGTTTTAAACATTGAAAGAGTTTTTTTTTTTTTTTTTAAAATAATAATAATAATCAATATTGCATTCTGCAATTTCGTATATAGTATCTGAAATTCTCAACTTCTAGAATTAGAAAATTCCATCAACTAATTACTAAGGACATTTAAGACCCAAATTTTTGTCACTGTTCAAACAACTCTCTTCCCTCAAGACACCTTCTCTTTATTTGAGGGATTTGAGCTGCGCGAGAAGTGGCACTTACTCTTTTCATCTCTTCCTCCATGACAGTGATTTTGTCAATATACTCTGCAATTTGTTCTTCCTGAACCGTCAGCTTTCCATTAAGGGCTCTAAAGCAAAGATTAATAAGAGCAACAACAGTAATAAAGTTGATTTCTAGATCAGCTATTGGTCTCGTGCTGCATGTTTAGTCATTTCAAGAAGTATTGACTTCAGCATTTGAATTTTCAATTAACACAGATAGGATTAAAGACAGCTTATTTTGCTTTGAGAGAAGACTTGTTCATACAGAAAATTTAAAATAGAAGTTTATATAAAAGCTGATAGAGCAAATAAGACATTAAAAAAAGATGAACGCTCATTTTGCTTGTGGCAAATTCCACAAATGAAGTTCTCAGTGCAAGCATATTTCATAGGCTTCTATTTGTGTAATAACTAATTTCTAAAGAAGGAAGTAACTGGTCAGTTAAATCTTCCTAACTCAGCCTTACGAAAATAGATCTGGAAACATTTCTGTTTAAGGATAGGAACCAGTATATGCTGTTAGACATCTTATAGCAATCCTGAAGACGTACTCAAAATTTTCAAGGGAAATATAGACGCCATTTTTCTCACGTGTAGCAGCAAGGTCTCGTTTCAGACGCTCAATCTCTTCAGTATATTCCTGCATCAAGAAATAACCACATTTCAACATGAATAGTTATACTTCATTTTCAAAGTTCTCCTCAACAGATGTGAGACATCTGGAATTATATGGAAATTTTCCACAAGCACAGAAGGATGTTCCAGAATCTAGTGTTTCACTTCTGCGTCCAAATAAGTTCAGTGTAGCACAGATTGAATTCGTAACATTGTACATATGTAGAGCATTGAAGCTTCCTATTCAAACTATTGTTTATTCCACATAACAGTTTATACTGGGAATTGCAGCTTCTTTAATAGCATTCATGTTATAGGGCCTTATCATTCATAGTTTATAGTTTGTTGCTTAAATTTAAGCATTTTTGAGGGAATTAAGCTGCTAATGGAGAAATCCAGCAAAAAAGTAATCTACTGTTACTTAGTAGGTCTTCACTACCTGGTGAACAGGTACACAGTCATAAATAATAGCAATCACACTGTCTCCAGCTTTAGTTTTAGCAATAGCTTCAGTATTTGCAGTGTTTAATAGCGTACCAGCAGAGCAGCTTAGTAAAGCATCCCTTCAGTGATTAAAATCACCTCAGAAATGTGCTTCTGGTAGCCAATTTCCCCATAGTTTCATAACATTTCTCCTGTGCAGGAATTAGAATAGTCAAATGTATTCTGTCTTTACAGTAATCAAATAAATATATCTAGCTTACCTTAATAAGAGCTTTTTTGGTCAGTTTCTGGTTAACTTCAGGCTTGTTCAATATGTTCTTTGCCCTGTGGGCATATTCTAGTGTACTCAGTGTTTCCTGTGATAAACAGATACAACATTAGGTTAAGCTGAGGAAAAAATATTTTTGGAAAAAAAAAAAAACAAAAACCAAAACCAAAACCACAAACATTCTGGAATAGGTATTCAGATTAAAATTTACCTCAAGATTTATAGATGCAGGAGAAACTGTGGCAATTATTGATGTTTTTGTTCGTCCTCCAAGAGAATCTTGAAGGATTCTTGTGAGTTTAGATTCCCTGTATGGCACATGTGGGGCTCTTTCTACTAGAGCAGAAATAACTCTTCCCAGAGTCAGGAGAGACTGATTGATATTTCCAGCTTCACGAGCTCTTTTGTCAACTGCCCCAGATCGACCAATGTTCTCACTTCCTGCAAGATCAACCTGAAAGAGGAAAGACACGTGCTTCTATCTCAAATCAGCACAAGGAATGCTTGCTCTGTCACAGCATGCATGAGCTAACACATGTATTTGTTCAGGAGATTGTAGGAGTGATGAATGAGACAGACATTTCTAAGAATGACAAACAGTTCACATTGCTCAGAAAAAACGACAATTTCTTTACCCTTATAAGTGTTTAATTCTCAAGAGAATGAGGTTACATTGTTTAGTTCCTTACTTTAGTATTGCCATCAATGAAATTTAATTCAAATACTTACCAAGTTTAGCTTCCCAATTTTAACAAGTTCTTCTCCATCTACTGTGGTTTCTTTCATATGGATGGTAATTGAAAATACGGAGTGGGAACGGCTATAAAAGAACTCAATTTCAGACAAACATTCTTTAAGCCCAATTATCTGCTTTCTATGAGACATTACTCCAGGTTAGTTATCAGTGCTCTTTATAGAAAATAAATGCACCCCCACTAATTGCAACTTTACACATTTCCAATACAATAAAAATTGTCTATTTTTGCCTGTGTACATGTAAGGAAATCATAATCTAGCAGGCTAGAATACCAATCAAACTTCAACCAGTTGCTTCATTGATGCATCTATCAAGTGAAGCCAACAGAAATATCTGATGTTGATACTTCTATGATCCCTACTCATAGACACTTCAAGACTGGCTTGCAGTTTTGTAGCCAATACAATAGGAACAATTTTACAGAACATGAGATTAGGAAATTTAGTACTTCATACAGACTAAAGAAAATCAGCAAGAATCTGACTCCAATATTAAAGATGTAGAAATTCAATTTAGTTTTCATTCAAAATGTTAAATAAGTTTAAAAAAAAATACATTAGCTTGAGATTATTTAACAAGCTTTCACAATAGGAAGCTGGGACATACAGTAAACCATAGAAGTTATGGCAGTTTGAAACCTACTTGCTCACAATGACAGATATGAAATCTGCAGTTCAAGAATGAGAAGTCAGTAATAAATACTGAGATTTTTGACTAACACGTCTACTAGATTCTGACTATGAGCTGCAATCATACGACACAGTCTGCATTGCCATACAAAAATCCCTTATTCTTATTTCTGACTTCCACAATACATCTTGTATATTTTCATAAGCTAGCATTATTCTATAAAAAACAGATCTGAACACTGTTTCGTAAGTTCAGTTTCAGAATCTTAATTATATCATTTCCTATTGCTGGTGAGGAGAGGAAGGGACACTTACGCCTAGATTTTTTCCAGTGAACAGAACCAGAAAAAAAGACAACAATGAACCAATAACACCCCATAATAGCTAGAACAAAGACAATCCATCTCTCTCACATGGGTGTATCTGCTAAACATCATCAATATTTACTGTAAAGATTATTTATTCCACACTTAAACATACAGCATGCTTCAATGATATCCATCAGATTTGTGTTTCCATAGAAATATAAAGTTTTGAGAAAGCTAATTGCTTGATTTAGAGTTATTAATAAATTCCAGTATTCTGCATGCCAGACTAAGAATATTCTACCTCTCACATTGCACCTGGATAGGTGGAAATTCAGGACTACCATTTTAATTGTATATTTAAAACGGCATGCAATCTTGAAACAACAGTTTTTGTAATCACGTCTTCTGACAGCAACAGCTTTTTAAGAGAGACTTCCATAATTTACAATGCATCTTCATACATGTACTAGAATACATCAACCCACAGAACGCAAGAAAAAGTTTCTTGCTATGGTTTCCTAATCTATATGTGGCAACAAACTATAATATCTAATCTCAAGATCAGGCAGGGCTTACTCTGGCTTCAACAATTTTTCCTTCTTCGGTAAAATCCAGTTTAATAGAACATTAACAAAATAAGTCTCTGAAACACACAAGATTTGTACCTGGAATATGCATTCATGTAAGTAGCTGCAGTTGTTCTCTTTGCTGCACCCCTTTCCAGGATCTGATAGACTTCATTTTTGTTGTGTACAGTTACCTCCTCTAAGCCTTTAATAATTACACCTCTCTGTCAAAAAACAACAAAACAAACAAACAAACCCATGCTCATTCAACCTCTTCGAACTGTTCCAGAAGTCTTCATATAACAGATTTTGGAAGACTGCACTCACCTTATTTCGGGGGTCATCAAACATCTGCAGTCTTTCTCCAACATCAGGAGCAGGATTCAGAAGATCAAAAAGCTCCTCATTATATATTTCCAAAAGAGAGACTTTCACTGAAAATTCAGTGCCATTCTCTGTGAGTTTTTCAAATATTTGATGCAATGTACGAGGTATTATACCTGCTAATGGATCCTACAAATTAAAATGAAAAAACAAGTACATACATAGATGTACAAAAAGAGAGTTGGGGAAGGAGTGAAGTAGTAGCAAATTTTAGCTACAGTCTGTTGGTCTAATGGATACAGACAAAAAAATACAGTGAACAAAGATTATTTCCTGTGCAATTATTGCTAAGATTTGTATGTACGCATTAATGATGTAAAGTTCTGGTTTTCACAAGTAATGAGAACACTCGTTAATTTACTAATGTTTACCAAAAGTCGGCTTCAGTGTTTGAAAGAAATCAACTTTAGGCTGTCTTTAGCTTTCTGCAATATCTACTTTTGTATTACACAGCACAGCTACAAGAGAAACCTCATGAGTAAAAACGTACCTCTTCCCAAGTGTACTCCTCGTTGGGGGACCGTTCCCCTTCCATTGTGAAAGTCTTACCAGTACCAGTTTGGCCATAGCTGTTAAGAATGAAAAATTAAGATGTAAACAAGAAACAAAAATTAAAGTGAGATTTTCTAATAATAATACTGGGATACTTACGCAAACACTGTACAGTTATAGCCCATAATAACTTCATCCAAAATAGGACACACAACACTCCGGTATACGTCAATCTGCTTTGCCTGAGCTCCAAAAACCTGTCAGAGCAAAGACAACTTGTCCTATTTACCAGTACAGTAACATATTGCACTGTGCATACTGCACAGTGCAGACATCAGACTCTATTAAGAGAAATTTGCTGGGTTACAGCTACAAGTGTCCAGCTTGACAAGCAGTTACCATATCAAATGTGTAAGTCTTTTTTAACATCTTGTCTGTGACTCCTCCAGTGCGGATGCTGACTTCTTTTCGTGCTTGATCACAGTCTACAACAGCATAGGAGTTTGCTTTACGTTCCGAGGCATTAAAAGGCCTAAAAGCAGAAGAGTATCAAATTAATACAATTACTAACAGCAACATGAAATGGTCCAGAGGAAGGCCACTAAGATGATCAGAGGGCTGGAGCACCTCTTCCATGAAAAAAGGTTGAAGGAACTGGGATTGTTTAGCTTGGAAAAGAGAAGGCTCTGGGGAGGCCTCATTGTGGCCTTCCAATATTTGAAGGGAGCATATAAACAGGAGGGGGTGTGACTGTTCACAAGGGTGGATAGTGATAGGACAAGGGGGAACGGTTCTAAACTGAGACACGGGAGGTTTAGGTTAGATACTAGGAGGAAGTGTTTCATGTAGAGAGTGGCAATGCATTTGAACAGGTTGTCCCAGAGAGGTTGTGGATGCCCCACCCCTGGATGCATTCAAGGCCAGGCTGGACGTGGCTCTGGGCAGCCTGGTCTGGCGTTGGCAACCCTGCACATAGCAGGGACTGGATGATCACTGTGGTCCTTTTCAACCCAGGCCACTCTATGATTCTATGATTTAAGAATCCACAAAATGATAACTGAGCAAAAGGAACATTAACTGATTTAAGTTAAAAGCTTTATATTTGTTTAAGGAAAACTGACACAACTTGCTTTCCAGACATTGTTCTCCTTCCATTTGCCAGGACAAACCAAGCATCTATAGCTTTTCATGCATTTACATGGTTAGCTGTTTGTTGCTGTTTTTAAATAATAGTGTCCATAAATACATTTATGACTGCTTAGCTGCATGCATATTTAACTTGCATTTAAAAATGTCTTTCTTGCTAGAGTTATCTAACCAATGAGTGAGGGGAGCAATTAAATGCTGCAAAGAGTTGTATGAATAAGCACCTCGAGAAAAGGAAAACTGTACGTACAATAGTTAAGATAATAGTGAACCAAATCAATGCACTTCAAAAGTTCCCTATTTTTCCACTTAGACAAACAGTGCAGCCCACACGTCTCTTGTGAATGACAACTCCCTAAGCACCAGATATGCTAATACAGCCCACAGCTAGCAGAACAGTAGACAGCAATGCTGGAATCTTTATAATGCTGACACACTTGAATAGAATCTGTGAATTTTGAATAGAATTTTATAAGACAGAAAATAATGCCTTTGGGTTTGGGGAACAAGAAGCCCATGCACCTTTTTATTACACTTTTAAGTAAAGTTTAACAGAGATACAAGAAAAAAAAATTCAATATTTTCTTTTATCACTAGGTTAATCCAAATGTGGCACATAAAATTTTCCTTATAGGGGCAGCAACAATAATCCCTCATAAATAAAAAAAAAAAATAAAAAAAAATCACATGCTAAATCACAAAATGTGTTCTTATATTTCATCCTGCAGTGTTACTGAGCTGGATATCTGTTACCCATTCAGGAACTCATCACTGTTGTGGCCGACATTTCCTCCTCATGGTAGCACTGAGACTGAAGTGTTAGATTCTAGATAGGCCACTCAATGCTTCAGCACAAGACAGTGAATGGAGTCAGGTTGCTGTGGTGACAGCCAATGATTACAACCATCTTGTTCACAGCAGCAAGTTACAGCTTTGGCTTTGCTACTTCTAAAATAGCAAGAAGCTGAACAGTAACTGTAGTCTTCTTTGCAGCAACAAAACAGAGAACCAGATGAATGCAGACCAGAGAATCAAAGAAATGGCCTTATAGTTACCTCATGATAAAGGGGCAATTCAGTTAAACTAGAACAAGTGCCACTAGGCAAGCAGCAACTTGGCACGCAGCGATAGCATTTGGTGACATGTTCATTCCCTTAAGTTATCAAAAGGACATTAATATATAACAGAATAATAGAAAACAAGTTGCAAGGGACCTTTAAACACACAGTAGCGTACACATTCAGAAGCTCCAAACTCATATTTTATTAAAACATGGTGAACGTGTGGCTTGAAGTTTTTGAATCATCAGGCTTCAGGAGCAAATTAGGGGCCACTGAAACAATTGCATCCGTTGATCTACAAAGTGAGAACTCGAATGCTGTAGAAGGGAACGGGAAGGAGCTTTTGCTGCTCCAAAGTATCAGTCACAACAAAAGCAAAACACTGCTCCACATACAATCCTGATGCTGCTGTATTGCAGAACACAATCTTAATCAAATAGACACCAATACACAGCCAGGCTGCAGCACAACGGTGCAGCACTGGACAGATGGAAAAGAAGCCAATTGCTCAACAGTGCTTCAAATACAACTGCTCCAAAATCGTCTTTTGCAACATTCTCGCCTTTCACCAACACTTACACCCAGCCTCCTAACGCCCATTCCAGCACCTTCTTACTAACACTGAAAGAATAAAAGCGAACGCTGCTTTTAATGGTTATTTTCAGCGTGGGTTTGTTGAAGTACAACCTCCCACCAGTAACAGCTTGGTAAGCCGGCGTCCGTAGTAGCACAGAGAAACCTCGCGAAGGCAATTTAGAACACGGTTATCATTACCTATGCTACCCCTCGTTCAGCTCCCCTTACCCGTCCTACACAGCCTCGCACCGAATAGTCACCGCTCAGCAGACGCCGACCCATCCCGCACGGACGCGCAGCTCGCCCCGGAGCAGCGCCGACCCGCCCGCGCCCCGCAGCCCGGAGCGCCCCCCGGCAGCAGCACACCCCGCGCAGCTCCCCTTCCTCGAGCCCAGGGCTCGCAGCGCCTACCTACCTGCAGCGCACCACCACCTGGATGTTCTTGCCCTTCTCCTCCTTCTCCTTCTTCGAGCCGCCGCCACTCTGGAAGCTGAGGGAGGCCATGGCGCACTCGGACGCGAGGGAGCCGAGGACGACGGTAGAGACACCGGCCGCGCTGCACGGGCGCGGCTCAAGCTGAAGCCGAGACTCGGAACCAGCCCAACGCCTGCGAGCGCCTGCCGCTGCCGCCGCCACCTTCGAACCGCGCGGCGCTGCCTCCCGACCAATCAGCGGGCGCCCGCGGGGCACCATGGGACCTCCTTTCAAATTTCGGGTGACGACGTGAAAGGCACGGCGGAAGCGGCAGATCCTGCCGTGAGCGCTGTGCATGCCGGGAACTGTAGTGCCGGCGAGGCGCCAGGTGACAGGAAAATGGCGGCTCGCGCATCCCCCCCGAGGCCCCGAAACCGAGCCGGGAGGGGGCGCCAGAGAGCGGGCCTGAGAGCGCGCCGCTCTGCCCCACTGCGGGGCAGCGCGGAGCGTTTCGCCGAGTATGGCCTTGACTGCGGGCAGGTCCTGCGGCACAGGGGAGGAGCGGCTGCCACCGGAGATATAATCGGTCCGGGACGGTTTGCTCTCAAGAGTCCATATGAGATCCTTACACGTGTGCATAGTGTCATCTACTACGGTGCTTTTAGTTGCTGTTTTAGGGCCTTTCCAGTTAGGCAAACTAGGATTACCACCTATAATTCCACAGGTTCCTTCCCCACCCCTTATTTTTTTTAAATGGATGCTTTGAAACTTATACCTCCTCCATGAGCTCTTACAGCCAATAGAATGAATCCCAGCCTGTGGTCCTTTTTGTGACAGTGCCACGAAGCAGCAGCACGTGATGCTCCTTCACCATTTACCTCCAAAGTTCGAGCAATGTCAGAGCTCATCACTTTCATCGCAGACGTAATGGGGAAGGACACAAGGTGCTGGTTCTTGGTGTGCTGGAAGCAGGCATTCATTCAGAGAACACGAGATGTGTCTGACATTAAATACGGGCTGAGGATGAGGCAGGATAACAGCTAGGAAATTTTCAATGCTTAACAGCAATGTTCATTAGCAGCCTCTCTCACCCACTGCCTGTTCTTTGTTCCACGTAAGACCTTACTGATTTTATGCCACTGAAAACAATACCAACATATATGTAGCAATAATACATATGAAATAAAGCAAATATAATAAATAGCAAATACTACATAGAATATATATACTACATGAAAATAGAATTACTTTGCAAGAACAAACGTTTACAAGTTTGTAACCACCAGATGAACTGCTGCCTTTCAATACCCATTTAAATTGTTTGGGCTCTACCCCAGAAAATAAGGCAATGAATCCAAGCAAATGCTTGTAACAACAAAAAAAAATCTTTTAATTCATAAGCACAGAAAAGTACAGAATCTATGATTTCTACCAGTATTGAAGCCTATCTTTGCAACCACAATGACTTTGGTGGGTTGATGAAACACTTAGAAATCTATGGGCCTCTAATGAAACACTAAAATCACAATAATACATTTTGTTTCAGTTAAAATTTAACTAAGTAGGAAAATTAATACAAAAGCAACAGCAACTGCAAATTGAGACCACAATCATTCTTACTTTTTTTTTTATTTTATTTTTTTTTAATTATTATTATGTGTGCTAGGAGTGAAAAATAAATCATACTTACAGTTGTACTGGAGTTTCTGCTAGACTGGACAAGTTGAATGCAGGTTATGTAAACATTCTGAAACTTTACTTTTTGCTCTCTCCTCCCTCATACAGATCATAGACAAGAAGGCAGCACTGACAGACAAGATGTCTTTTCATCTCGTTTCTGCCTCTCTGTTCTTTTCTAGTACGAAAGTATGATCTGCATTAGTCAGAATTTTGCTTAAAATGTGAACACATCTGTCATTAACATACAAGAGATCATACAAACTTGCATTTAAATAATAGGAATCAATCTAATTACTAGGAGCTAAATCTGTGGTAAATGGAAAGCAGAAACTTCTGGTAATCAAGGTAGCTTAACAATTGCAGTTTAATAGCTGTAGCTCTGTCACAGCTAGTCGATGGATAGCACAATGGTCATACATTTCCTGAGATTAGGTTGAGCCTAATACAATAAACACAAACTGAGTAACAGGGAGCTGGCATTTCACAAGCAATAAAAGTAAACATGAGAAAGAAAGAAGAATATTTAGGATAGTCTAAACAGTAATTAGGAGAACAACCTTTAGGAATGCATGTACACTGTACTGTGAGAAATGTTTTATTTTTTTCTTTTTAGGAAAAGACAAAAAGCCTTACAGAAAAATGATCCACATAGCAATACACACATCTGCCGTAACGATTTCAGTAGAGATTACTAATCCCTACTTATTGATAAAAAATTTTCAATAAACCTTGAAAACAAGCCCATGTTTTATATATGAATGTTTCAAAACTAACTCAATAAATCAAATCAGATGACCTGGATAATTATATGTATGGAGGCTTGGCAAATAGAATTGTTGACACTAAAACATGATTAGCTAAGAATTAGGAAAGTGATAATAATGGAGAGATATAATTATAAGCTTGGCCAAGACTTCTTCAAGGCTCAACAAAACCTCTTTTAGCTACCAATATGGTACACATCATATAAGCTGAAATAGGCTACAGAAGGGTTTCCACATGCAATCACCGCTGAAGAATTAGCAGCAAGTTTAACTCCGACAAAGTTTAGTAAAAAGAGATAGTTTTGGTCACATCCTGTTTAATATTACCAGTAACACAGAATAAAAATGTACTGATTAATTGTATGACATTAAAGAGGAGATGACCCGTAACTCAGATTTACGTAACGCAATCTCCACCTCTTGAACAACCAGCCCAGCTGGCCAGCAAAATTCTGAACTCTTTGTTTTCCACATATAGAAAGTTGAACAATAAAAACTTACACACTGTGCTGGTGTATTTCATGCTGAGGACAGCAGTTTCCTTCAGTCACAGTAATAAAAAAAAGCTGTTTCACTGGTATAAATGGAAGATAAGATGTGATAAGCTAAATACCTCATTGTAAACATTTAAGGACTTAATGCATTTGCAACATCAGTAAAAAGAGAATTGGTTACAAATAATCAGAGAAAGTACACAGAATAAAGGTCTCTTTTTCATGTGTATGTGCCAGATCACGCACTGTTGGCTGGTGGAACTTCTAAACTTGTTAGAGGCAACATAAAAAAAATCAACACCATACCTACAGGATCACATGCATTTGTATAATCACTTCAGAGCAAAGCTAAACTTTCTCCTTATACTTACTTATTCTCAATTAGGACATGCAGCTAGATGATATTTTTACATTAAAAAAAAAATGGATGGGAAAACTGCAAACATAGGTTTAATAGGACCTACTGAAGTCAGAAAGAAGTGTCTCCTCAACTTCTCATTATTTTCTGAATTTCATATTTCAAAATATTAATTCATTTTATTCATTTCATTGTTTTTAAACTTAGTGCAGAAAACAGAGCAGCATCCTTCGTCAGGAATATCATGGTATCTTTCCATTACCTGAGACTGTTGTATCTCAGTGACTGCATTTAGGTTTGCGTCGCACAGAGTAAAGAACATCTTTTTTTTTCCGTTCTGTGTCTGAAACAAATAATAAAACAAGAAGTTATGGAGCATCAGATAGATTGTCATATATACAAATACAAAAAATAAAAGGGAAAAAGAAATTACACTTACACCAAAACTTATTAGGAAAACCCCGGAAACAAAACATGTTGAAAAACAGAAATGTGTCAAGGCGTCAGTGAATATTATTTTAAATAGGAAAGCTGCCCTGAATATACAAATAAATGTATCATATACTAAGAAAGATGTTTATACATACCTGTATCGCTGAAACTGGTGCAGAGTGGTCATATAGAACATTAAGCTCATATAGAACATTAAGCTTCTGACAGTTGTTTGTGCAACTATAATTATTCTATTTAGCTGTGAAGTTTGGGAGATTAAGAAAGTTTAACAGAGAAAATTGAATTGTACTGGCATAAAAATGTCTGACCTTACTACTGACAATCCTTTTCTTCAGTGTCTAAACATATGAAAATAGGTCTCTCAACAGACGAAATTATACCTGTTAAACAATACCTGTACAATTACAGGCATTAAATGCTTCTGTTAACAAACCACTGGAGAAAAACAATTTTTTTTTAATAAAGATATGGGAGATATTTAGTATGTCTAATCTCAATTTTCTAAGAAAATGTACTTGATTATTGTAACATAATTGCAGTTCAATGTATCACATTTACACATGACTTCTCTGATGTATAAAGGTTCTGTTAGGGAATTTACAGTTATATGCACAGGTGTTGTGGCTAAACATATTCCAGCAGTGATCAATAATGCTTTTTACACCTACACCTTGTTATGAAGCTATCTCTATTTATTTTAGCGTGGAAATAACCATAACCTTTGGGATTTTTTTCAGCCTGAGGCCAGATTTCTTCAGAGGCATAAGAGCTGCTCCAAAAGTAATGCCTCTTATTCTGTTGGCCCACAGTGTCAGAAGCAGATGTTGGTGGTATAGAAGTAGAGGTTGAGCCTTCCCACCAACATTCCTTATGTTTTGTTGCCATGTGACAGATGGCAGCAGAGGGACAGTCTGACACAGTGGCATCAGACAAAAGTGTGCATGAAGCATGGGTATGTCACTGAATTTCTCCATGTGGAAACAATAGCACCCATTGACATTCATCAGCACCTGCTGAACATGTACAGAGATCAAACAACGAGATGGTGGGTGGTGCACTTTAGCACTGGTAGCAGTGGTCATCTCCACTGGTACAGATTTTTATGAGGATAGCATGCGGGCTCTTGTTCATTGCTGACAAAAATGCATAACTAATGGTGGTGACTATGTTGAAAAAAATAGTTTTATAGCTGAGCATTTGCACTGTCGTATAGTGTTACTGTGCTCTTTATAGCTGTTGTAGTTTTCATGGAAGTAAATAGGAGGCATTACTTTTGGAGCAACCCACAGAAATCCAACTGCAATTTTACTTGACTCCAGAATTTTAGGTAGGTGGAAAAATGAGCTTCTATTAGAAACATGACAAGACTGTAATTGGAGTTTAACATTTGTTCCCCCAGTTTTCAACAGGAATAGAAAATACCTGTTTATCTAGACAGTTTTGAACCTGACTACCTTTAGGATTATTGCTCTTCTTGCACTGTACAGCCATGTCACATATCCTGAAGAGAGATCTGCTTCTTTACGAGGCTTCTTCATGAGAATTTTTGACAATTTCCATAGCGACTCCAAATCTTAAGTCCTAATCGTTTTTTACAACACTTTTTTTCTCTAGAGCAGATAAGAAAATCAGCACCAACTGCCTTGAAGCAATTAAAGTCCTATAAGGAAAAAAAAGTTAA